GCAATTATCTTAGGTGACATTGCTAAGATAGCATCATCTACAATTAAAAAGAAAAAGGTAGAAGTTACCGTGACATGCTCGGATTTTCAGTGTCTTGTGTGCATCTTTAATGTAGAAGCCGAGAGTAATGAACCATTTTTTATTTTACTAGTACAATGCCCGTGCGTTGAAAGGAGATATAAACATTCTAGTACGTTAGCTTGCGATTTACATGCCCATATTTATATGATTATGCAAATTAATGTTTATCAAATCTTGCCCGTGATTTACCTTATATTTTGACGAGAATTTCGGCAAGTAAATTAAAATGGAATTAGTTCACAATGTAAGTTAATTTAGGTGATTGATTGTTATACAGGAAAGGTTGGACGAAGCGGTGGTGAGAAGAAAAGTGAAACATAAAACTTTTTTTAATTAAGTAGTAGAAAAGATAGAGATAGAGATGAAAACTAGGAGAGCAGAGATTCGGTGCCAGGCTCATCTGCGCCCGCGATAAAGGAAAAAATCAAAACAAATACTAGAATAATTAAAAAAGTCTAGTTATCTTTTGCATGGTAGATAATTAGTGCGTGAGGTGCGCTCCAAATTTTAAATTATTTGGACATCTGAGTAGCTCTCGGAAAAAAAAGACAAAATTAGGGTCTATAAAAAAGTTTAACTATTCTGACCCAATTTGCCAGTTTTTGCTGAGAACTACTCATGTATCCAAATAATCTGAAATTGGAGCGCATATCACTCTCCATGATAAAAAAGATAGATTGTTTTGAATTTTTGTGTGTGAATGTTTTCTTGACCGGATGTAGATGAGTCTGTGCTCAGAAATGGATATTCGGAAAACTAGCAAAAAACACACCCGTCAAGCACATACAAAAGTAACTCGCAAGCCGGGCCTTTTGCAATATCGGGTCGAGCCTTGTGGGCCTGTCATGAGGCTTACATCTCCTCCACATGCATGTTGTTACTCGATTATCAAAAAAAAGCATGTTGTTATTCACGGAAATCCAGTTTACCACCAATTGCAGGAAATATGACTATCGACGTCCATGTCCTCCCACGGTATGCTGATCAAGCCTAATTTGATCATGTTATTATTTATTTTTCGGTGTATTTGTATTTATATTTATTCTCCTTTCCCCTTTTCATTATTATCATTTTTATATTATTTGCAGGTTTTTATTTTTATAGTATAAATTCTAACTTTTCATTTTCTACCTCTTATTCTTTTTTCGTCAATTTATGAATATGTATTTTTAAATACATAAAAATTATTTTGATACACATAAACACATTTTTATACATAAGCCTTAATTTTATGACAGTTTTTTAGGATACATGAACATTTTAATTTAATTATCGCCTTTTCGAGAAATATACATACATTTATATGTAATACATGAACATCATTTCTAATTAAATTTTATTTCTTCTTTTTAGTGCCATGAACAATAGAGGATACACAACCGCCTCCTCTCCAAAGAAAGATTAGGTTTCCTTTGCCTCCCGTCGGTGCCATCGCCGGTCCGTCTAGTGTCCGATGGACTTAGGTCCATGGGGACACGGTGGATCCTACCCCTTACCGGTGGAAGGGCTCTTCATTGATGTTTTGTTGGGATTTGTGTCCTACTCAGGAAGGCAAGGCGGCGGCGGCTCTCTGGAGATGAAATAAGATTCTCCCTGCCTAGCCCCCGTCCTGATGGTGCGTCTAGCCGTCGGTGTGTGTGTGGAGTTATGTCTTCAACAGATCTATCTGTGGTGGATTTGCTCGGATCTGGTTGTCGTTTGTGTATGTTTGTGTGTGTTCAGGTTGAATCTTTCTAATTTACGCCACTCTTCATCGGCGGCGGTTGTTGTTCTAGTACGCTGGTCCTATGGGCCTTAACACGACGACTTTCCAACTGCCTACTAAGTTTGCGATGACAGTGGCTCGTCTCAGGCTCATTTCAGTGCTTGTAGTCATCTCTAGGTGGCCTACAGTTTTGAATGTAAATTTTATTATTTTTAGTGTTATTTATACTGTCATGATTAAAGATGAATAGATCAGAAGTTTTTTCTAGAAAAACAGCTTTTCCGAAGTATATAGAACATTTATTTTCACACATGCGAACATTTGTTTTCTAATTTTGTGAACAACAGCTTTTAAATATAGGAGCATTTATTATGACGTACGTGAACATTTATTTTTGCAGCTATAACATTTTCCTATTTAAAAACTGATTTATAAATTTAGTAGAAAAATATAATTTTTAATATATTTATATTTATTTTTAAAGATATTACTTGTTGGTGGGCCGCGCCAAGTGTGGTCCATGAAGAACTGTTTTACGAAGCCGTTCCCTAAAAAAAAGGAGCACACTGCTATTCGCGCCAGCTACGAGCGCCGCAGGAGTTCTTCAGCATGCGTGTCACGGCGCGGCGCGCCGGCGTCCTCGGGACGGTGGACTCCCGGCCTACCAACTCGCTGGCGGACGCGGCGCGCGCGCTCTGTGGCTCCTCCCACGACGAGGGCATCGCTTCCGGGAACAGGCTGATGGGCGCGCACCTGAGGGCCGGCAGGCCGGGCGCCGCTCGAGAGGTGTTCGACGGAATGCCGCGGCGCGATGTGGTGTCCTGGAACTCCCTCATGGCCGCGCACGCGCGGGAGGGCGCGCACCAGGAGGCTGCATACGCCTTCCTGGAGTTGAGGCGATGCAGGCTCAGGCCGGACCACACCTCCTTCTCCACCGTGCTGTCGGCCGTCGCGCGGCTGGAGGCTCTGGAGCTGGGGCGATGCGTCCACGGCCTCGCGCTCAAGGCCTGCTCCACGGGCAATGTGTTCGTGGGCGCCTCACTCGTCACCATGTATGCCAGCTGTGGGGTTTTCGCCTGCCTGCAGCGGGTCTTTGACGGTGTCGACGCTCCAAATGTGGCCTTGTGGAATGCTCTTCTATCAGGCCTCGTGATGAACCATCGGGTAGCAGACGCCCGCATGGTTTTCGATCAGATGCCCGGTCGCAATGTCGTGTCCTGGACGGCCATGGTAAAAGGCTATGTTACGGTGCACGAGGTGGACCTGGCATTAGAGCTGTTTGACTTGATGCCCATGAAGAATTCTGTGTCGTGGTGTGTCATCATAGGAGGGCTTGTCCACCATCAGCAATTCAGAGAGGCAATTGAACTGTTCAAAGGTTTGATGAGGAATGGGGATGAAGTCACAAATGCGGTTCTAGTTAAGGTTGTGAATGCTTATGCTGGCCTGAAAAGTATTGGAGGAGGCAGATGCATTCATGGGTTTTCTGTGAAGTGTGGATTTGTTCTTGACCTGATTATCGAGACATCATTAGTTGCGATGTACTGTAACTCCTTGGACATCGATGAAGCACAATTGGAGTTTGATAAGTTGGACAGAAAGCATGTCGGTTCATGGAATGCCATCATATGTGGCTATATTTATTCAGACAAGATTGATGAGGCTAGAGAACTTTTTGATTCCATGACTGAAAGAGATAAGGTCTCGTGGAACTCGATGATTAATGGCTATATCAGAGATGGAAGAATTACTGATGCTACTGAGTTATACTCAAGGATGCCTGAGAAGAACGTGGAAGCAGCTACTGCTTTGATGTCATGGTTTGTAGACAACGGAATGCTAGATAAAGCACGGGATATGTTTTATAGTATGCCCCAAACAGATGTAATGTCTTGTACATCTTTACTCTTTGGATACATGAAAGAAGGATATCTGGATGATGCACTGGACCTTTTTCATAGGATGCACATGAGGACTGTTGTCACTTACAATGTAATGATAGCTGGTTTTCTTCATCAAGGAAAGGTTACTGAAGCTTACAGGCTCTTCAATGAATCACCTTCTCATGATTCAGTGACTTGGAGCTGTTTAATTACCGGGCTCGCTCAAAATGGTTTAACTGATGATGCACTTAGGATGTACAAGAAAATGCTATTAACATATGTGCGCCCAAGCGAGTCAGTTGTTTCTAGCCTCTTAAGCTGTTTTGCACACCATTCTATGATTGTTCATGGTCAGCAGTTTCATGCCACAACTATCAAGCTTGGACTCGAGTTATGTTTACTAATTCAGAATTCACTCATTAGCCTATATTGCAAATGTGGCAAAATGGTTGCAGCCCAGAATATTTTTGATCAGATGGGTAAAAGAGATGTGGTTACATGGAATACAATAATTCATGGATATGCATTCAGTAGCCTTGGTGAAAATGCTATTGAAATGTTCGAGAATATGAAGAGGGCACAAGTTGATCCTGATGATATCACATTTCTTGGTGTACTGTCTGCATGTAGTCACATGAGTCTTTTGGAGGAAGCAAAACATTTCTTCAATGCGATGACACGTGATCATGGAATTGTGCCTAATATAACGCACTATGCTTGCATGGTTGATCTATTTTGTAGGAGAGGCATGGTTGAGGAGGCTGAAGGGTTAATGAAGTCAATGCCATTTGAACCTGATTCAGCAATATGGACCTCTCTCTTGAGCAGTTGCAGACTGAGTGGCAATGATAAGTTAGCAGAGCATGCGGCAAGCCAATTGATCGCCATAAATCCTGGTACTAAAATGCCTTATCTGCACCTCATCAGTGTACATGGATCAACAAATAGATGGGGTATGATTGATAGTCTGCGAAGTCAAATTAGGAGAACTGCCACTCAGAAAGAAGTTGGTTATAGCTGGATTTAGTGTCCCAGCATGATTCACTGCTGTTGTATTTTACCAACGGTAGGTCAGTCTGGTACCAAAACACTATGCTGTATACAGTGAGGCACAGCTGCTATATACGACAATATCCACGGTGCAGCCCGTGATCATTTATATGGACATTTCCCACCAAACAGGTAAAATTCTATAAAAACTACTCGTATATCACATGTAATTACCTTCACTTTGGCATCTAAGGCATTGTTCTGATGATACAACTTTTTGTTTACACATCTTATGTAGAACGTCTAAAAGTTCAGGGCAGACTCTTGGTGGATGGGTTAACCTGGAAGCGTGAAACACATCTGTCAGGTACGATTCAATCGGATCGCATGCTTGTACATATAATGTTTGTCATCATTTAGAGGTAGACTAACTGTGCAACAATTTTTTTTTCAGTTGATCGGTATAGAATAGCTTCCTTTTTAATTTTGTTTAAAAAAGCACCTTGAAATACTATCTCATCTTGATTGTTAACAAGAATTCATGTCTTGTCCTCCAGAGTTTCAGTGATCGGTTTGTTGTTCCTCTTCCAGGAATACGGCGCCAAATTTTGCCAAAACAGAAACCTTTCAATCAGCCTAATAAGAGTTTGGTCAGCAGAGGATGGAACGCGCGGCGCAGGCCAAAGACATGATCAGTTCCATCCCTGCATTTCGGAGGAGCGGTGACTGTGGGATGTAACCGAGTCTGCAAAAATACCCAGCCAATCCGTGTGGCATCCACTGAATGGCCTCTGCCCTCCACACCGGCAAACACTGCTCAGCAGTAAGGATCATGATGACTGTCCGGCTGAGCACAGGGAATGCGACGGTCACCGTCGCACGCTACATGGCAGGGCGCAGCTTTAAGGCTCAGGCGAAGCAGAGCTTCACCAGGGAAGTCCATGCCGTGGCGCTCACCGGAGAAGATCTTCGCCTGATGGATGACCCTGGACCTTTTTTCTTTTCTTTACGGGAAGCTGGCTCTCGACCTTCTGGTTCTCTTTTCTTAGTTGTTCTTTGTACTAGGCTGGGCAGGCCAAAGCCCAGTTTATATTTGCTCGGCCTAAAAAAATGAAATCCTCGGTGACGGCCTCTCCTTGTTTAATTCACTCGTTTATTTTAGTAGGTGGTGGGACTCATTTTTTCGGTTTTACTATTTATATATCTGATGGCAGAACATTTGTTTTTCACCTGTCGCCGGCCGCGGGGTGGCAGGGGGCGACGGTCGGGGCACGAAGGAAGGAGATAGGGACCTTGTTTCACAGCTTTGAGTGTACGAGGGCCTTTTAAAAAATAAGCATTGTATTACACACGCGACATCCTTTTTCGGATGGAGGGAGTGTATGATGCATGGTGACTAGGAGAGCATGAGAAAGGAACCATAGGAGCGACGCGCGTGCTGGCTACAAGTCTGTCGCAAGCTTTGGAAACTCGCGCAGCAACGCGTGCGTATCCCTCTAGTATATGGGAGCATGGGAAGGGAGCAGGCAAACCGGATCCCTAGTATAGAAGGGCGCTCACTCAACTTCCAACAATTCCCGGATCATTGACGTGGCATTTCCTATTTGATGCCTTCAGGCCCGTTAACGTGCAATTCATTAACTGGCGCTGAAGGCATCTTACCTGGGCCGGCCCATCTATGGGTGCCACGAGAGAGATCCCTTTCCGGTTTTGGCAAGCTTCCAGAAGCTTCCCAGCCGATTTTTTTTGTTTATTATTTTATTTTTCCTGGACTGGTCTTCTTCTTATTTGTTTATTCTGTATTATTTCCCTTTTTCCCTTTTCCCTTTCCCCCTTTTCTTTTTTTTTTAATAATGCAGATTATTTTCAGATTCGATGAAACATCTTTCAAAAATTCAATAAATCTTTTTTAGAACTGATGAACTTTTTGTTAAAGTTCATAATCTTTTTTAGAACTGATGAACTTTTTGTTAAAGTTCATAATCTTTTTTCAAAATTTATAAACTTTTTTTCAAATCGATGAGCTATTTTTCAAAGTTTGCAAACTTTTTACAAAATCGTTGAACTGTTTTTCAAAATTGATGAATTTTTTATCATAATTGATGAAAATTTATTTTTACAATTTTTTTTTCAAAATCGATAAACTTTTTTAAAAATCATTGAAATTTTTATTCAAAATTGATTAACTTTTTTCGAATTCACAAACTATTTTTCCATATTGGTGAAAGATTTTTCAAAATAATTAACTATTTTTGAGTTCATGAACGTTTTTGAGTGTTTTCAAATGCTTGAACTTTTATGAATTCCTGATTTTGTTTTTGAATTTTTACGTTTTTTGGGATTTTCTGATTATTCTTTTTGAGCAAGCGACCAGTCTTTAGGTAGTAGAGACCATTTGGTGTTATTTTGGAGCAAGCGAGGATGCTAGTGGGCTGGCTCATGCGAACGGCCTTGAACGCGCCAATTTAGGAGCTCCCTGCCAAAAATGCAGTGCACATTGCTGGAATGGAACTCGCGACCATTTGCTCACCAGCAAACGTAGCTAGCCAAACAAGCTTGTAAGGGTATGCGTCTAATACGTCTTGAGAAGAGTTTAAGAATTAATAGCAGCGCCAGTTTGGAATATTACTTATTTTCTTTAAAAACATTTCTTGAAAATTCCAAGTATTTATAACTCCGAATAATTTTGACAAATGCGATTTTGATTTTGAAAAAGGTGGACAATGTTTGAATTTGTGAATAACTTCGAAACATGTGAAACATTTTTTGAATTGAGAACAATTTTTTTTTAAAAAGAGAACACATTTCGAATTTGTGAGCAAAATTTGCAAGCGGGGACATTTTTGTAAAATTCTGAACAATTTATGAAACTCTTGAAAAAAAATCATTTGTGAAACTTTTGAACATACTTAGAAACTATTTTGAATTTGTGACAAACATTTGAAGTGAGAACATTTTTTCAAAACTATAAGCAATTTATGCAATTTCCAAAAATTCTTTTAGAAAACAAAAAACAATTTCCAGATTTCAAAAAAGCAAAGATTTTATGAAATTGCCTGAACATTTTCTGAAGTTGTGGACAATTTATAAAACATATTGTTTTTGAATTTGTGAACAAATTTTGAAAAACAGGAACATTTCCTGAAATTAGCGAAAATTTTCAAATTTGTGAATTTTTTTTGCAAATGCAAAACTTTATGGTAATTTTGAAATTATTAAGTTTTTTGAATTTTTGTACATTTTTTGTAAGAGGCGAACATAAAGTTGTACTTTCTGACTTTTCTAAATTTCTGAATTTTACATAACTGGAACATTTTATGAAAAAGGAATACATTTTTGAAAGGTGAACATGTTTTAAATTGTCAAACATCTTTTGAAAAACAAAAAACGAGAATGAAAGAAAATAAAACAGGAATGAGAAGGAAAAAAGGAATCCGAAAAACATAAAAAGGAAAAAAAGAAATTGGAAAAAAGGGAAAGAAAAAATGAAGAGAAAATAAAACGGGAATAAACCATGTGGAAACCCGTGGAACATTTCCAAAACCGGACACAGAAAGGTTTGGGTGGAGTCCGAAATGGGTCGGCCCTAATCGCTCGATATAGAGGTATGTATCGTCCTCTAGCATACATACACAATACCAATCTCATCAACTATGGAACCGTCCCTCAAAAAGAGAAAAAACAACATGGAACCATCCAACATGTCAATGTCTTCCTCGATCCTCCCGGCGGACCTCCTGCTCGAGATCGCGGCGCGCTCCGACCCCGTCACCCTCGTGCGCTGCGCCGCCACATGCAAGGCCCTTCGGCGCCAGATCGCCGACCCGGCTTTCCTCTCCCCGCTCCGCCTCCGAGGCGCCGACCGGTTCGTGCCCGCGCTGTTCCGCGGCATGTTCATCCAGAACCTGCGCGCGGCGGCGGCCGCTCCAAGGAGCCGCCCCCCGAGCCGTTCCGCTCCTTTCTGTCCAAGTACACCACCCTCTTCGACTTCTACCACCCCGTCCTGGCAGCGCGGCACGGCCTCGTCGCCCTCCGCTCCGACGCCACCTCCGAGACTGAACCGGCGGGCGCCTGTGTGTTCGACCCTATGACGGGCTACATCTACTGCTTTGGGCCACCTGGGATCAATGCCCAGTCGTTCGTCCTGTTCACCGGCGACGGCCGCCGCTACCGCCTGCTCGCCGCGGAGTTGTCTTCAGGTCACCTAAAGACCCAGGCCTTCTCGCCGGCCGAGCACGCCAGGCTGTGGCAAGCCATCGCCGAGACCGCGGTAGCTCCGTGCCCTCAGGATGCCGCGCTCCTGCACCCTCCAGTCGTTCTCCAAGGTGACACCCACTGGCTGTGCAGGTCGGTCGAGTGCCACTTCGTCCTCAAGTTGTCACACGCGCCGCTCCAGGCGTCCGTCACTAAGATCGACGGTCACTGCGGCGAGGCACTGCGTGGGCGCGGACCCGAGGAAGTCCTCCTGGTGTCCGACGGCGGCCACGCGAGGCAGCCGGGACTGCTCGTCGCCACCGGGCTGGAGATATCACTCTGGACGCTGTCTGGCTCCCGCGAGGGCGGAGGCTGGTCCAGCCGGAGAGCATCCGGCGGCCAGCTGGGCAGTGGAGCGAGCGGCTGGAGCTGCGGTGGTTTGGCGAGACAAGCGGAGCGGCTACGTCTTCGTGCGGATGCCGGGAGCGGAGGGGCCCTCACCGTCGTGGTACTTCATGCTCGAGCTGGCGGCCAGGAGGGTCCGCGGGGTTTGCAAGATCCCGCCCGGGGACGTGCTCGTCTTCTTCCCCTACGAGATGGATGTCTCCTATTGGCGGCCAAACTTCACTCGTCGACTACACTAGTAAAAAATTTTAGAACGACTGCATCCAAGATCCAACATACTAACAGAACCAGCGTAGTCATAAGTCACAAACAGACTGAGGTAACAAAGCGAGAGGCATCAGACCTCGAAGAGCACGCAGCCTCATAGCGGAATCCAAAATAAAAGAGCTTCCCTAAGCTTCGATGGTCGACCTAGCCATGGTGTAAACCTGACGAAGT